TTTTCCCAATGTCTTACCTGAGTCTGCCCAGAATTTATTGCAATTATTTCTTGTTCTGTTTCTACCAAGATCTACCAGAGGTGCTCCTCAGCCCTCCCCAGCACTCTGTTATGAAGCCTCTCACAGTATTTTCCCAGTATCTGTTCAAGTCCCTGTGCAAGAAATTCAGCACATTTAGGACCCATTTCTAGATCTCATGTCATTCTCCCTCTTCTCTTCTGGGTGTTCCAGCTGACACTCAGTGCCTGCAATCAGATCTAAAGCATCAGCTGGGGGGGTTTCAGTACCAGTACGAGAGCAGAAAACCAACTGCATGCCTCTGACAGAACAGTTTCTATATCATAATACAGTGGCTGATTTTACTCATTATCATGACATGTGCTCAACTAAGGCTCCATAAGAGTCCTTAGCACACCTTTTGCTGAATTGTTGCCCACACTGGCTTTAGTGCACCTTAAAATTCTTTCTAGGTAGAGCAAATCTATCTTGTTCTTTTGAATAACATCTTTTTTTTCCAGACCAAATGTCCCATTTGTCAAGATCAGTATGAGTTCTGAGCACATCTTCCTAAATTCTCACAATCTATGCTAGTCTACAAATTTAATAAAACTAATCTTTATTTTGTCTTCCAGGATAATATGAAATTATGGACTAAGACAATACACTTGGGTAAACTCATTCCCATGCTTCCTTCTGCTTTGATAATTCTTCTTATCTGTTCTTTTTTAAAATTAAATGGAGAAAACCTCAAAATTATGGAGAACTGCCTCCAGTGCCTATGAATCTTGTATCTCAGTATGTCTGCTTGCCTTAAGTTATACTGAAAATGGGATATAATATGCCTGCATTGCTCTGAAACATCTAAAGTAACTGAGGCAAATATCAAGTACCAGAACTGCTTCAGGTGTGGTGGTGAGGAGCTCCAAGGGGGGTAGTGTGGATAACCAGGCAGCTTTTCCTGGCACCTGCCCTGCCCTGATGGGGCTCTTCTGAACTGGGCAGGGAAGTGCAGCTATTCAGGCTATTAAGAAAATAAGGAGCTTTTGAAAAATTTGCTTCATGTAGGACTATAACTCCTAAAATGTCTGTAAAGTGAAATTCAATAAATTGCAACACAGACAAGTTGGGTCCAGGAAAAAATGTGACACTTTGGCCACATTCTCTGTCTCAGGTGTCCTGCTACATCTGGTAATTGGTTTGGTGACTGAGTCAGCTTTTCCTTCCTCTTGCCCTGAGTTTATAAAAAATCCTTTCCTCACACCCTGGAATGTGCATTCCCTTTCAGTGCAGTGTCACATTGCAATGTTAATTGTGTCTTAACAGAAGGGGAAATGTGAGTTATTGCCACTGAGATCAGGAGTCCCCAAAGTTCTGTGTATGGCAGTGGCACACCCAGGAGCCAGCTCAGGTCTGCAGGTGCCTGCACAGCTCCATCAGAGAGTTCTGGAAACCAGCAGTGAGAACAAACATGACTGACTCATGAATTGCTGCATTTTTCCCAAGCCAAGGTCAAACCCAGCACTTTAAACACACACAGAACCT